CATGCTATACCTTCTATTCAAAAAGATTTGGGAGGAGGAACAAGTGCCGATGGACTGGAAAGAAGGACACCTCGTCAAGATTCCAAAGAAAGGAGATCTGAGCAAATGTGAAAACTACAGAGGCATTACACTACTGTCAATACCAGGGAAAGTCTTCAACAGAGTGTTGCTGAACCGGATGAAGGATGCAGTAGACGCCCAACTTCGAGATCAACAAGCTGGATTCCGTAAGGATCGGTCGTGCACAGACCAAATTGCAACACTACGGATCATCGTCGAACAATCAGTTGAGTGGAACTCATCACTATACATCAACTTCATTGATTATGAAAAGGCATTTGACAGTGTAGATAGGAGGACATTATGGAAACTTCTTCGACACTACGGAGTTCCTGAGAAGATTGTCAACATTATCCGGAACTCATATGACGGACTACAGTGCAAAGTAGTGCATGGAGGACAGCTGACAGATGCATTCCAAGTAAGGACTGGAGTCAGACAAGGCTGTTTACTCTCTCCCTTCCTCTTTCTTCTGGTGGTCGACTGGATTATGAAGACCTCGACATCTGAAGGAAAACACGGAATACAATGGACAGCTCAGAATCAATTAGACGATTTGGACTTCGCAGACGACCTAGCCCTCCTATCACGTACACACGAACAGATGCAGATGAAGACAGCCAGTGTAGCAGCAGTCTCTGCATCAGTAGGCCTCAGCATACACAAAGGGAAAACCAAGGTCCTCAAATTCAAGGCGGAGAACAGCAATCCAATCACTCTTGATGGCGAAACTCTGGAAGATGTAGAGTCCTTCACATACCTGGGAAGCATCATCGATGAACAAGGAGGTTCAGATGCAGACGTAAAGGCGAGGATCGGCAAAGCAAGGGTCGCATTCCTACAATTGAAGAACATATGGAACTCAAAACAACTTTCAACCAATATCAAAGTGAGAATCTTCAATACGAACGTCAAGGCAGTTCTACTGTATGGAGCTGAAACTTGGAGAACTACAACAACCACAGTCAAGAAAGTACAAGTATTTATAAATAGCTGTCTACGCAAGATACTCAACATCCATTGGCCGGATACCATCAGCAACAGCCTTCTCTGGGAGAGAACAAACCAACTTCCAGCTGAAGAAGAAATTAGGAAAAGACGATGGAAATGGATAGGACATACATTACGCAAATCGTCAAACTGCATCACGAGGCAAGCCCTAACTTGGAATCCTGAAGGGAAGCGAAAAAGAGGAAGGCCAAAGAACACATTGCGTCGGATAATAGAAGCAGATATGAAAAGGATGAATTACAACTGGACGGAGCTGGAAAGGATTGTCCAGGACAGGGTTGGATGGAGAATGCTGGTGAGTGGCCTATGCTCCTTCACGAGGAGTAACAGGCGTAAGTAAGTAAGTAAGTAAGATTGTAGCTTCCTTACGTCACTAGGTCACCAAAATGTAGTAGATTTTCTTACCCGTTTGAATGCTCATTTAGACTTCGTTTTCATTAATGATGTGGTTATATGTGCGACTCGTAAACGTGCTCCATTGTCTAGCTCGGATCACTGTATAATTCGTGTTCTATCCAAAGTATATGGAAAGCATGGGAAGAGTACACTCTTACATCGAACCAAGAAAGTCAAATATAGGAATTATTCAGAAGAAAATATCCGAAATCTGAAAAACATGTTTCATACGACTAACTGGGAATTATTTACAGATGACTCACTAGAAATCACTACTGATGTTATCACTTGTTACCTTAAATACTGTTTTGATATTTGTTGTCCCACTGAAACCATTTTTGTAAGTTTTGATCGACTTACATCTTCACAACTAAAACGACTACGGAGGGTGAAAGAAAGAATGTACAAGGAGGGAAACTCTAATGAAGTTCGTAAGCTAAATGGTCTGATAAACCTAGAGATTAGACGTCTCAACTGTATGTTTACTCAAAAACTCTTGTCTTGCAAAAACTCTCCAAGTATGTGGAAACTCTTTAAAGAACTTACAGGTGACAGACAGTTTAGAAGCGATAACCAGCTGAATGTTTGTGACTTAAATAAGTCTTTTGTACGTCAGTCATCTGATGTGATGCTCCCTCTATCCACGGGTTTAAAAATAGCTGTGTTCCTACTTTCACTGAAACTGATGTACGAAGATGTCTCCAGTCGCTTAATTCATCTCGATGTTTGGGACCTGATGGTATCCCAAACATCCTTTTTAAAAACTGTGCTGACGTCCTATGTTATCCGTTCACAGCTATCTTTAACAGATCCTTCTCATCTAATCTCATACCAAAAATGTGGAGAAAGATGAAGATAATTCCTGTACCCAAGAAAGCATCTGGTGATAAGAATGTAAAATTTAGACCTATTGCAATAACTTCACCCTTCCTCAAAACAATGGAAAAATTATTAATACTTCCACTTCAGCCTGCGATAAAAGAGCATATTGACCAATATCAGTTTGCTTACAGGCGCAAAAGAAGCACTTTAGATGCTGTTGCTGTTCTGCATCACAACATAGTGTTCAACTTAGAAAAGGGTAAGAAGTATGTTCGATGTGCTTTTCTGGACTATACTTCAGCTTTTGATTCTATACCAAGACAACGTTTAATTAACAAGTTAATCAGCGTCAACACTGACAGCTGGATAACCAACTGGCTATGTTCCTACCTCTCTGGAAGGGAACAGTACACTGTGTTTGGAGGAAAGTGTTCAGAGTCTCTGCTGTCTCATGAAGGTGTACCACAAGGAGCTGTTCTTTCACCTCTTCTTTTCTCTTTTTTTCTGCATGATCTGCCATCTTCCACAGAAAACACGTTTTTGAAATATGCGGATGATCCTTTATGTATGCCTATCTCTTCCTCTTTACATCCCATAGAAATGAATGAGTTTTTGTCTCGTATTGATTGTTGGTCTGTTGGTAATGGTCTCATACTTAATCCGTCTAAATGTCAAGCTGTTAACTTTAGTATGAGACATGAACGGAATCTAAACACCATTTTGAGATCCCATAATGCTTGTACCATCGGAGACTCTTTGATATACACAGTGTCGAAGGTCAATTATCTTGGTGTCACCTTTTCCTCTGATCTGTCTTGGTCTTCCCACGTTTTATTGTTATCAAAGAAGGTTTTCCGTCTGACCTACTACATAAAGAGATTGCATGCTCTTGGGATTACTCGTCATTTACTCTTACAATTTGTCAATTCTTGCATATTACCTATTATTCTTTACTGTTCTCCATTATTCTTTCCCGGGCTTTTGAGAAAAGACTTTGCTGTATTGCGGAGAGTGCTGAAGGCAGTTAGCAAGATGTGTGGTGAATCTTTCGAGGTCATAATTAATATGGTTGTGGATAGACATTTAAAATCATGCAAACTCCTGGCAGGTGTTATTTTATCAGATACTAGCCATCCCCTTCACTCTTATCTTTCTCCTTGTATATCTTCTGGTAGAACGAGACGTAATTACATTAAAATCCATGCACGCAAGCAAAAGTATAAAAGTTCTATAATACCTTACCTAGCAAATATACTCTGTGACGAACAGGTTGTTAGAATCAACCTAGTCAATAACTTGCATTCTTACCATGTCCTTAATTCTAAAAGTTGTACAGTTTTTCGGTTTTTTTCTCTTTTTTTAAAAACATTTTCTCTTTTTTTGTATTCGCTACTGTGTTTTTGTTGTTGTTGCGTAAGTAACTTGTTTAAATAACCTGTGCTGAGAACTCTATATTGTACCGAAACTATAATATTGAATAAAGCCATTAATAATAATAAGTCATTTTGTTAACTTATTAATGAACTGAGCCATCCGTACAACAACAATATCTTATTTATATCATTGTATCTTTATTATTGTCGCGAATGTATGAACATGAAGACTTGAGCATTGCTTACTGCCTACGCATTTATTCACGCTGCTAGCCATACTACTAAACGCTTAATTGATTCGATGATTCATTCATTTCACCATGTATATATAAGTCCATGTTATTCATGTTCATTGCTCTCTCTCTCTCTCGCTTATTTGTGCTCGCTTACTTGTACTCTTATTCGCTGACTCACTCGCTCGCTCGCTTGCCTGCTTGCTTTTCGGCACAACTCTTTCATGATTGCTTAACGCACCTGTAATTTTGGATATATGTGTGAGGTCCCATAATAAATGTGATCAACACCTCGTATTCGCCTTCTGATTAATATAAAGTTGGTGCTTTGTCTAGTGACGGTTATCAAGACGAACTGTATACTCAGTTTAAGGATTATATTGATCACTGACCGCCACAATTTATATATATATATATTATTTAAACGTTATAAAAATAATAAAAATTAGGGACGTTACTTAACTCAGCTGACATCTGAGTGTTCAGGTTGAGTTTGGTATCGGAATCCCCAATTATAGATGACTGGTGGTTCCAGTAAGATTGTTGTCTTTCCAGTGAAATTGCCAAGCGTAGAATATAAGTTTGGCTGCAGTCTGTAAGTGTAGACATTAGGTGATTTAGACTTCAGTTATCACTACCACAAACAACAGAAAACTAGAGGTGTGTGTATAGTAGTGTATGTCATGCTTTGAGTGACACGACGGAGGAAATTGTGTTCAAGGTCATGCACTTAAACAACACGTGCAGTCGTTTAATGTTAAATGTACAGGCTGTGAAAATGAAATAGAGTTAATACAAATAACACCAAAAACTAGTTACAAAATAAGTTTTTCTTGCATATCCCCACACTTGTTAATGTGTTATCGAACTACAAATACTTGTGTCATCCTCCACAATGATTAGAAATATGTTCGAATAGATACATTGTGTTACACAGGCTCGTCATAGATGTGTCGTTTATCGGTCAAGCTTGTTTTTATCCACCACCAGTTCATTAATCAAGGTCCTATGTTGAAGCGACAAATCGGTTTTGTTGCTAAGTTACGGATTAGAAGTCGTGATGATAGAGTTAACCGTCATTTTCAATAAACAGCCTTAACGTGTAATGTCCAAAACACCAACAATGAAACATTTCAATGGAGTTAATGCCAACGAAACTACCGAAGTTTCGAATCTTGAATTATTTCTTGAGTTCAGTAATTGTGTTATTTCTAAAGATTTTCGACAAGCTATAAATCTTGCTAAACAGATTCTTCAGTCTGAGCCAAACAACTCACAGATCCACGACTTTCTTCCATTATTAAACGAAGCGGATTACATGAAAACTGCTGGTGTTTTTCACTCCCTTACTGACGATTCAGATACAGAATCTGAGGAAAATGATGATGATAATATCCATCTGAACACTTCAACGGATACAGACTCTTCTGATGATTTTGACTACACAAGTTCTGATTCTGACAGCTGTCGGTGTCTTAAAAAATTACATGGTTCATAAAAATGACATTTGTAGATTATTTTGACTACTGTCTAATTCAATAATTAAACTACCGTTTTATTAAAAACTGACGGTTTGTATTCTCTTTATTGCTCCATTTACTGAATTAACATGTCTGTATGCAGTCTTATGTCGTTTATTTCAATATATGGAACTGTTATTAGAATTTGAATGAAATACATATTTACTGTAATATATGCATTATTTTAAGAAGTGAACGTGAAAAGTATCAGTATGCGCTTATGCTCATAGATCTACAGCTGTTTCGGAAATGTCGCTCCAAAAGTTGTGACTTTCATATTAAGTCCTTTGTTGTATGTAATGAGCAGTTTCATATTTTTAATCTAAATCATGTGTTAAAATTCGTTCTTCTGATGAAACCAGTCGCATTCTGCAACCGACCGTTCTTATTTTTTAACTCACCGAACCACTTAATCGCCAACGTTGCACCAAGTTTCTGTAAATATTCAGTTCATTACTGCTTTGTACATATGGCGTTTACAAAATGTGAAGGATCATGCCTGTTCACTATCATGATAGATTATTAAATATAATTTTGCATAAAGCTTGAAGGATTATGTCGTTACCATAAAGTGTCCCGCATTTTTCATTTGCAATAACGACAAAACTGTCAGTAATTTGTCTGATTTCTTAATAACGTTTGTTTCAGATCAAAATGATCTGATTCTTTTGACACTATCACATTTTGGTCTTTATTTTAATCTTTCGGCTCTTTCTTACACCGTAAATTACTCAAATATTGTTAATCTGGAAGGCTTTGTATTGTTTTTTTACTATTTTTGGCTTGCCAAAAACTTTATAAAATGTTTTAATTATTGTTGTATTGACCAAAAACCTTACGTAGTTGTTAATAATAATGGTATGAACAGAGCTTGAATTTTTTTCGATATGGTTAGGTGACTCAAAAAGGGTTCCTAAAAAATAGGCATATTTTATCAACTTTTTTTCCTGAGACGTTTTTATCTATCCCCGAAAAATTAAGTCAGTTTTGGTTTATTCATTTTAGTCGTAGATGAGTGTTGAACCACCTCTTAAAAATATAAACGGTTGAAAATGGTTGATTGGGGCGAAAGTACCTAAAACTCGTTTAAATGATCTGTATAATCCGAATAGTTGACATTCAAATGTCCTATAACGTTTTTTAAATAGGTGAGTAGCATTTTGCTAGTCATCAGATGCATTATATTTCGTAACAGTGTAAACCTAAGCAACATTTGTTCTTGGATGGAACTGTTTTGTAGAGAAGCTACTGAAACTTGCTTTATATCATTTTCCAATGTTTTGTGATAAACAGTTCATATAATCAAGAACTTTTATAAATTGTTCGTATCAATGCGATGCTATGAACCAATGAAAATAAGTGAACTAAGCCAATGGGTGGTTGAACTCTTGACTATCTTGACTAGGAAAATGAATCAATGTGTTAAATGGTTAAAAGTAATTGGAGGATGAAGGAAAAATAATGATACAGAGCCCATTACAATAGGAAACTTATAAGTCTAGAAAAATATTCGTTTATTCAACGTGCTTAAAATTTAGGAGGTTGTCAGATGGAGTATATTTCAGGAGAACGAGCTCAATTATAGATGCGCCAAAATTGTCAAACGCCGAGATACAAAATGTTGCATTGTCTTTTATTTAACAATGACTTTCATTGCTAATTATAATAGGATACTTTTTTTATCTCTGCACTCATGATATCTGGATTTTCATATATCCCTTATGAAATGTTTTGCGAGGTTACTTCTTGGAGAACTGGATAAATATACACATGAATCTTATATCCAAAACAACATAATTTCTGTTCTTTTCGAAATAAATCAATATCTAGTAAGTTATATGCACTACATCAATGTGCTTAATCACCAGATCTAATTGTAGAAAATTGATTACATTCATTAACCCTTGTGATAGTTTTCATCAATATATACTTCATTTAAAAGATCTCATATCATCAAGTCTGCATAACAATCTAGGACTAATAGTCAGGACTTACTTATCATCATATGTACTTTGGTCTTAAGATAGTAAACATGAAAGCAGTCTGACGGTAGTTTGACATATAATGAAACTTGACTATGTTATGGGTTCAATACGGCATCTTCTCACTCTAAAAGCGCCCTACTTTTCGATGGGTTTTTAGTTTATAGACTAACATCCCAGCCTTCAGAGCTTAGCAACAAAAAGTGTGGCTTGGATGATGTAGCCTGAAGAACAACTCATTACTTTAAGACAACAGTCTAAGTATGTCATTATCCAGTAATCAAACGGTTTTCTTGAAGGACTCTTGCAATTTCGCCTCAATAAACCTCTAAATAAAGTACTCCTGTAGATTGTCTTGTCCATATAAAGTTGCAAACACTTGAAAACAATTTTAAATCGTGGTGAGTAAACTGAAAGCAGTAACTTCAGCTCTATTCAGTAGTCTATGATAGCTAATAACATTGCTTTTAAGATATATAACAAGTTGTATCAACTACGTAACCGGTTTAATATGAATCGGTATTTTACATAATCTACTGTTAATAAACTAAGTCTTATTCAATAGTATCCTATCACTTCATATCAAACACTGGACTTGTGAGCAACGAAAATTAATTCGCAGAAAGGTCTATTGTGGAAATCTTCATATAGGTTTTTGTCCGCTCTGCAGTGAGATTAAATGTTCTTACAACTACATTAGATTTCATTTGTCATTACATATTTTAATAGGATGAGACAGATTTTGGCCGTGAAGATTAAAGGCTGTTTTGACAGAATAATAATTTTTTCCCAATGACTCGGTAGTTTGGCACAATAGATCTTTTTATCACCATCGGAAATAAAAGCGATTTTTCACAATGTCCAAAGTGACTAAATGACTGAAATTTATGAGGTTCCTGGGAAAACTGATTTATTTGACAAGCATTAAGAACACCATGTAACCTAACCTATTGTTCTATTTACCGCATTTCGTTTTATTTAGAGATGTTTTGTTTCATGGTATGCACCATCCAAAAAGTCTGCTTGTTTGGCCTTTAGAGAAATGTTTTATGCTATTTGTTATGTAAATAGTCTTACAAGCATTTTTATTATTGATTTTTGACTAGCGGCTAATGGTTTCCAATAAGCAATGACCCAAATCCGATATTAAAGTCGTAGGTTTTCTCGTACTTATTTTTCTATTTCAATTACTTAAGAATTGAATGACGACATTCCTTCTGTTATTCAGAGCGTTTTACCAGCGAAACGTTTTCTGCAGCGATACATCTCTCAAGCACATTTTATTTTGTACGAAAAGTACAACACAATGATACAGCATCATCATAACTATCATCTACCTGACTAACAGTTGAAAGTACTGGAATGAATGACCATTAAAATCTCGTACAAGTTGTTGTGAATAGTCGATGGAAATTGACCTAGTAAAGTGGTTCTTCATTCTGTACTGATAAATGAATTAGAGGAGCCTTATGAGCTTACGTCTTTCCTTTGGTCTTTTTGTGCAGTATTCAATAACCTGATACGTCTCCTATCAGCTATTCCCAATTTTAACTCAGTCGTTTTGTTAACCTTTATTTTCTTAGTGCTGTCCTTCTTTATAGAGATATATCACACAAATTTAACTGTTTATCCAATCTATATGGCATTATAAATTTTGCTGATGGTGATCCAAATATTTAGTAACACAGTTCTACCAGGAGAAACTTGGATATAAAATCATATTTTCAACTTCTTGCATACTTTTTATAATTCAGAAACTATAAAAATCTTGGTATAGTTTGCAGAGATGTATGGTTAATTTTTCTGGGTTCAGTTGGTGTTGCTACATTTGTTTAGTAAATTACCATCACAGAATAAATATTATCCAAGTTCCACATTTTGAAAGTTTGTATTAGGATAATAAGATAAATTAGGAACACTTTAGACTATTATTTGTGCAAAATTATGCAATTGTTTCTATCGGATAACAGAAATATTCACGCATCTAAGTCCGTGACATGAACAAAATTACCTTGCTTTAGTTAGGTGCTCATAGTATTCCATTGATAAATTGATATGTCAATAATCCCATTCTCCAGACAACCTCAGGGTGTGCGTGTCGAAATTCATCTTTTCAGACTCTTTTGGAAGCTCAAAAACTAATTGTAGAGGTTATTCAGTCCTAGACAAGTTACAACATAATATACAAGTTTACGAGTCTAAGTTCCCAAGCATCATTTCAGCGATGTGATTGGGGAAATTAACAATAGATGAAGTAGAAAGAAATACATTTATTGCAGCGAAAGGCTAAATATAAAATAATATAGTCCAAAAGTAGCAAATGAAATGCAAGAACAAGATCTTTGAAATGACAATGAGTTCAATATTCAGAGAAATATATTTAATGAATGCAACAGTATCACTTAGTGTGATTTTAAGTTGTGTTTACTTACTGATTTAAAAATGAAAATGACCGATCTCCACAACACATTTTACTGATTAATTGGAATATCTCTCCAAGTTACTAGCGTTAGAAAAAGTAAAAAGAAACATTTCATTTTTATGTGTACTCAATAATAATTATTTCTTCACAGGTCATCTTTGAATAAGGCTGAATCATTTATTGTTTTAATAGTGGATTATTTAGTTTATATCTTTCAAAATGAAGTACGTTTTTGTGATAGGTCTACTCAAGTTATTTATTATTTAGTAATGGTAATGGTGAGCTTCAAAACTATCACCTTTTTTTGATGTTTTAGATAGTAGTATTACATAAGTTGCAGTCGGATAATAAAATGACCTGGAGGTGCCGAACGGCCGTCTCGTCCTATTGTGAGACTCCTCAACAGTGCACATCTACGATCCTGCCCGCGTGAGTCGAACCCAGGACCTTCGGTCTTGCGCATGAAAGCTTAATCTCTAGACCACTGATCCTACATCCAACGATGTTAATGTGCTCACTGGTGACTAACTTCGGGAAGGAATTCTCAGAGTTCTAGTGAGAAGCCGTGACCAGT